CGCTCTTCCTAAGAGCCAGGGACGGCGGTTAGAGCGAACCCGACAAGCGGTGCAGCTCTTCCGGTAATTTTAAAGTGCTTCTCAAGGAGTTTAAGAGCCACTTTGCCCTCCAAGGCCCGGGGAAGAGGGTGAGCAGACCGTGCGACGGACCCTTAGAGGCTTTCAGCTCTTTGGCTTCGAGGGTTTTTTTTGTTTTCCCTCCTCTCCCAAAGCCTGTAAGGGCCGGTAAAAAGAAACACGTGAACATCTCTCTCTGGGGCAGCATCACACGCCGCAAAGCACTTTGCATTTAGGTTAGTTACACGGGCACTTAATTACGGCGCTCATCCATTATTCACAGGGATGGCACGACGACGGACTGACGGGGCGTTAACGGAAGGGGTTTGCTCAAAGGCAGCCGCACGCAGCAAAACCACCCCAGCAGTAACGCAACCCGCCGTCTTCATCGGTGTTTAAGGAGCAGAATTCCGCACGTCAGGGTAAGGCCCGCTTCGGAGACGGTTAAGCGAGGTTGGGGTTTGAGACTCTATTAAACACAAAAAAAAAAACAAACAAAAAAACCCGTAAGCCGCTCCACGGCTGGAGAATTTAAAGAAAAAAAAAAAACCCCAAACCATCCAAACAGAGAATCAAAGCCCACAAATACTGAATCAAAACACGCCCTCGGGCTGCCGCTGCCGTCAAGCGCAGCAAGGACCGGTCCTTTCAACCCGGCTGGGAAGGGACGGGAAGGGAAACCTCAGCTACCTCCAACCCCGAGCAGCGGGGGCCAAGGATGGGGGGGAAAAAAAAAGCCATTAGGGCGATGAAGCCTTTTATTACCACTGGCAGCCTTCAAATCCTTGGTCATTAAGCGCTTCGTGCCAGTGCCTTGAGACACAACGCCCCGGCAACTGGACCGTGCACGATTTCAAAGTGCAAACTCATTTATTTAAGACAGCGGCTTTCCCTGCCCGCTGCTTTCCTCTCAGGCCTCTCCCTTTTCTAGTAAAGGTCGAGTAAACAAACGCACTCGGTCTCCCAGATTAGGAGGGATTTTGGCCGCTCCCTGGAACGGGAAAGGGTGACGCGAGAGGAGGGGGAAGACTGTCCTCCCCCCCTAAAAAATTTAGACACGGGGCTATCGCCGAGCAAGAGCCGCCCCGAGGCTTTGCCCACCCTCACTCTGCACAGCGCGGCAAAGCTCCGGCTCCGGGTGGGATCTCCATCACGGCCATCAACCTCTGCGGCAGCATCAGGCAGTTTTAGGGAAGAACGCAGGAGAAACCCCCAAACTGATGAGATTAATGTGCCACAAAAGAAGGTGGGGGGCACGGAAATCACGACAAGGTCCACCGGTCTAGATTTGATGAGACGTAAAGCACCCGCCAGAGAAGCAGCGCTGCCCGTTCGGGATACGGTTATCGTGCCCGGAACACGGGTCAGCGCAAAGGAACCGTCCCCCGACTGCTCGTCCCATCTCCGAAGCTGCGGGGTGAGGGACCGGGATAACCCAGAGGAGGTGCTGGCACGGCTTGTGGCTGCGGCTTGAATAATTGAGGAGATAGATAAGGAGCGGATACACAAGTTCTGATGACCTAAGGAAAGGCAGCAAGACATTTCAGAACAGAAACGTTGTTTATAGTTGGAGAAGATTATCTTTTAACCCCTGCTTATTACAGACAGGGACCTGTCCCGCCGGGCAGCCCCGCTCACGTCGCGCAGCCCCGCTGGGACGACGACACCTCTGACAGAGCAGGAATTCAAGGATAACGCTCTGCTGCTGACACCTCCTTTCAAACAAAACTCTCCAAAGAGGACACGGCCGCTTAACGAAGGGGCAACCGTGGCGCAGAGCCTTCCTCCTGCCCGGCGAGCTGCAGGGGACCCCCAGTTCCTCCTCGCCCCCGGCTGCCGGGGCAAGCTACTCCCCGCTCTCTGGCATTTACAACCGAGTTTCTATTTGCGGAAAGTAAATAAGCTGGCAGCGTTACTAATTTGTCACAAGACCTGCAAAATCTACGCGCTCAGGTTTCCCCGGTGGCCCGTCACGTCCAGGTCTGCTCGGTACCTTCCGCCGTGCCCAAAAGCAGCGGCTCTGCGCCGCCTTCTCGCCGATCCCGCAGCCCCGGGGGGGCCCGAAGGTGTCGGGTTTTGAAGCCTTTTCGCAGGTTGGGCCAAACCCAAACTAATCCTTTACGAATCAGCTTAAACATCCTGATGAAAGAGAAGCTTGGATTTGTCCGAGTGAAACGTACCGCAAAGCTATTAGAAAACTGGAAAGGAAACCACTGATTTTTTTGGATGTTTTCTTCTCCCTCCGCATTGTCGTACTCCGCAGGGCGCTGGGAGGAGACGGGTGGGGGGAGATTTTAGCCGGACGCTTCTGTTCCCCAAGGATGTGCGTGTTAAAACCGTGAGTTTTCAGCCCGGCAGAGAACTGCCTGAGCGAGGAACAATTCATTAGCTTTCAGAAGAGCTTCCCACCTGCCAGACGGGAGGAGAACAAGGTGTCTGTCCCCCCCCCGGCATGTGGCTTCGAGAGCAAGCGGTCAATTGAAGCAGCAGCGCTCCCAATCAACCTCTTAGCGTGAGGCCCCCAGGAAGGCTGGAGAGCGTGTCGCCAAGCCTGGCGAAGCACGCCGCTCCCGGCACGGCGAAAAGGGCAGAGCAACGCAAGAAAACCACGCAGTCAGAAAGCGAGGGGGGCGTAAGCGACCTGGAGGATGTCTAAGCGCTCAGCGGGCTCTCTGAGGTACACCGCGGCTCTGAGACGGGATCAAACGCGTCCCTTCCATTGCCCACAGGCGGTCAAAGCACACGTTGAAGGGATACCGGAGCCCGGGGAAGTCGGTTCTGGGGTCTGAAACCCAGCCTGGTGTCATCAGGTGTCTCCCCGCTCCATCTCTGTCCCCTGAATTGCTCATTCAAGCCATCAGATTTCAGTCCTGCGTAGCCGGTACCACGCGGACGTCCTCCAAAGAGGCAAGAACAGTCATTTGACCTGTCTCGCGTTTTATCTGAATAAGAGCTAGTGCTCACAGCTGAGTAATTCTGCACTGAATCAGAGGAGGGGGGGGGGAAGTCACCCCGCGATACCACTGCAGCTGGGACCCATCGGTACGTGAGCCCGCCAGCCCACAGCCCGTGCCCGAGGCTAACGGGGACGAGAAAGGCAGAAAACTCGCACCGAGAGAGTCGCTCCTCCCTCGTGCGCTGTCTGCGCTCTTCTAGCGCGCGTACTCGCCCCGCATTTCCACTTGAGTTTTTCCCCAGGCCCTTTGCACACAAGCACAAAGCGTCTCCCCGCTCCCCCATCATCCGCACGCTCCTCCTTCGCCATTCCCACCCGGGGTGAAGCCGCGGCAGAGACATCCGTGGGGCGGCGGGGCCGCGGGGCCCCCCGGGGGGGGGG